AAAACAGTCCCTTGGGTATAATTGTCACTTTAATTAGTTTGATCGTTTTTATGGAAGCATTATGTGTGATGGCCATAAGAGCAACAAAACTTTAGAAAAGGCCAAATAAAAAGCTTGTGATTCATTAGTTATCCTGGACCAGGAACATATGAAAAGCCAAAAAATAAAAAAGAAGACTTCTTTGGAGACTTCACAAGAGAAAGGCCAAACTCTAAATTTCCCCTCAAACAAGAGGTAGAGACAAATCTATCTTAAAAAATAAATAAATAAATAAATTACGTTTTTAAATTATTAATAAAGACTTATTATTTAAAATTTGACATTATCACATGTCAACTTTCCTTAAAAACACATTTGGAAGGTAAACAAATTTAGTTTTCCATTAAAAATATACTTACATGGTAAATGAATTTCTGATGTATGATGACTTTACATATTAAATAATAAATAATTTGTTTTGATTGATAATTTAAAGAAAAAATTTATCATTATTTTTTTGTTTTTAATGGGTGCATATGTTCTACGCTCTTATTTGAGTTGCATATTTGGAGGTTCTGCCCATGAGAAATCCCTGGGAAGCATCCAACTTCATACTAGAAAAGTCTTCACGATTGAGGATGAAGTCAGTGGCACCGTAGGGGAGGAGGTGGTGGTCGGGAGGAGGACTTGAAGGAGTGAGAGGAGGAAGATGGTGAGAGTCAGCATTTTTGGGATTCAATATTACTTGAGGAAATCCCGTCATCTTTAATTGCAGCCTTCTTATAGTAAAATTGATCAGTTCTACAGTAGAGGGCAATGGTGAAACTGATAGAAACTGAAGTATAGGATGCTTCGAAGGAATTTGTAAAGACTTAAAAAGCCTTTTGCCAATTAGAAGTTTCTGCTTGGTGATTAAAGAATGGGACAATAGGCAATTTAATTTAATTAATTAGCTCCTTAAGAATAATACGTCCAGAGAAGTAGGGAACCATGGGAACAAAGGGGTGTTCGCTGGAGGCGTTCGAAGGAAACGAAGTGTTTTGGTCGTTGAAAGGGGAATATTTGAGGAGAAGATCAGCTTCCCATTTGCGGCCATCCAATGATGTAGTCGTTGAAGTTGCACCGCAGGAGGATTATGATGTCAGTGGCGTTGTAAGGTGTGGCTATAGTGGACGGAGGGGGGACATGTAGGGGAGAGATGAGGTAAGTGGTGAGTGACAGTGGATTCATTTTGAAGCAGAGCAGCCCTGTACCCTGAGACCTATCTTTAATTAGTGGAATTCTGGATAATTCGGAGATTGTTTAAAAATCAGAGAATAGAATGGGCGATCAACGTTTATCACACGATAGGACTATTCTACACTAGAAGTCAATGGTGAGACTGATTGTAAAGAAGTGAAATATGCTATGTGGAAGAAATTTCATTGAGAAAAAGTGCGGCGAAGACCTGCATGTCTTTGGTTGAATTCTATGAGGCCTGGATCAATAACCCCGCCACTTTAATGCCATTGACATTAAAGTCCCTTTGAGTGTCACTTTAATATATTTTTGTAAAAAACAGAACTGAAAATTGACCATCACTTTAATTTGCCTTCGTTTTTCTTGGCAACGTCTATTTTTTAATGTGTATAATGGTCATCAACACAACAATACTAGACCTGAAACATAAGAAAAGAGAAAAATATAAAAAAAGAATACTTCTTTGGAGACCTCACATGAAATCCCTTGGAAGCATCCAACTGCATGCTAGGAAAGTCTCTCCTCTTCCTTAAACGAGAATTACGTGCCTAATTTGTCAGATTTTGATTTGTTAAAATTGACTCCCATTAGCGCGTTGCAGGCAGCATTGCCGTGAGGGTATTGCCGGGTAATTAGACACAGTCCAAAGTTTGTTCATCGTCATCATTTTCACCATCCTTAACATATTCGTTGCAGTCAGCATTGCCGTGAGGGTACCGTCGGGTGATTAGACTTGGTCCAAAGTTTGTTCATCGTCATCATTTTCACCATCCTTAACATATTCGTTGCAGTCAGCATTGCCGTGAGGGTACGGTCGGTTAATTAGACTCGGTCCAAAGTTTGTTCATCTTCATCATTTTCACCATCCTTAACAAATTCGTTGCAGTCAGCATTGCCGTGAGGGTTGGGTAATTAGACTCAGTCCAAAGTTTGTTCATCTTCATTATTTTCACCATCCTTAACATATTCGTTATAACTGGCTTCGCTATCATAATTATTGTTATCAGGGTTACTGTTCTTATCATGATCATCGTTGTCATCACCATGATCATCATTTTCATCATCACGATTGACATGATGTTCTTATATTTTGCTTGGCATAATATTCTTCAAGGCAAGAACGAAGATTGACAAAAATTTTAGGGAGCAGACATTTTTTTACTACGACATATAAATTTGTTCCTTTTATTAAAAGTTTGTTATAAGTTAGAACGTTCTAACTTGCACAGGTTAACTCAACCCGCACTTCATGTGGTTAACCTGTATTTTATTATAGGATTTTTCTAAACGGTTGATTTTTAGGATATAAGTTAAACACGTAATTAATGTATTTTTTTCATTAAATTATGTAAAGAAATAAAGTTTGACTTTAATTTTAACAACTAAATAGTTAAATTAAAATACATAACATTAATGCTAAAACTAATATTAACTTTTATTTTTTTATGGGAATTAATAACTAAAAAGTATATTAATTATACATTTAATTTATATTATAAGAACATATATTAGAAAAATCTTTTGTTATATTTTTATTAATTATAAATTTTTGCCATAATAATTAATTATAAATATATTTTAAAATATTTATCAATCATTTCTATTTATTTTTTTATATTAATATATTATTTGACGAT